ATTTACAGTGGTTCTTTGAAAAAACATCTAATGCGGAATTACGACATTTTTCCACACGAACATAATATGAATGATTCAGAAATTGATTTGAGAAAGTATTCGAACATCTTTGCTAAAGTTCTGAAGTACAATTTTTTAAAAAACAAAAACTAACAAACAATATTAAATTTGATAAGAGTAAAATAGATTCATAATTTAAACTCTGTGTTCAATAATTAGCTGCAACTAGTAACTTTAAATAATAACTTATTAATTTGATTTTCTGAAATATTACAATTATTTACAAATTACCAGTGCACATTAATAAATGCAATAGGTAGAGATGTGATTTAAATTAAATACTTGATAAAAAATGCATTAAAATTAGTTTAATGTGTAAATAATTACAAATTTAGAACAAAACTGTTCTTGGGATGGTTTTAGGACTAAAATACAAATGATTCATATTATTATTTTTAAGATGATAAAAATGTTTATCAAGTTCGAAAATTTAAATAGAGACTATTTGTAATTGATTTATTAGAAATTAAATATATGTAATTCGATTATATATGTTTCTGATATGAAAGATGGGTTTCCAACTAATTGAAAAAGTTTCAATAAAATATAATGAAAGCAATACCCAATTCAATTTGTTGTTTTTCATTAATTTCCCGTAGAGTAAGTTATTGTAATCGTCCAATAATCGAAATTGAAACTTTTTGGATATCTTCACGTTTTGAACATTTTGGCATACCTCAGAAAAAAATAGATGTGTGTGTATGTATGTATGGATACAATTTTTTGTCCACGATTTCGGGCGCACGGATCAACCGATTTTAATGGTTCAGAAAACATTCGTTTCCTATTGATAGGGAGATATGTTAAGTTTTTGGCAAAAGTCGGTCTAGCGGTTTTGGAGTTACGGAGCAAAGAGTGCAAAAATGGCCGTTTTTGTAGAGAAATAAGCATCCGATTTGAATGATTCAAAAAACTTTCGTTTTTTTTTGATAGGGTGATGTATTGAATAGTTTTTGGCAAAAGTCGGTCTAGCCGTTTTGGAGTTACGGAGCAAAGAGTGCAAAAATGGCAGTTTTTTAGAGAAATAAGCATCCGATATGAATGATTTAAAAAACTTTCGTTTTTTATTGATAAGGAGATGTGCTGATAAATTTTTGGGAAAAGTCGGTTTAGCCGTATTGGAGTTACGGAGAAAAGAGTGCAAAAAATTGCAGTTTTTGAGAGAAATAGAAACCGATTTGAATGATTCAAAAAACTTTCTGTTTGTGTTGACGAAATGATTGTTTTTGGGAAAAGAGAAAAGGAAAAAAGAAATATCGAAAATAATTCAGATTTTCAAAATTTTAATTTGGCACGGAAAGTTTCAACAATTTGCCTCAAGGCACGATACCATACATCACTAGTTTGTTGATTGAATTCCAAAAAAACGAAAGTTAATGAATTGATATGATAAAGAACAGAGACTTTAGAAAGGTGTTAATATTGCCTGAAGAAATAAAAAAATCTGTAAAAAATATTAGATTTTTTAATTTTTTTTTTTGCGATCATGAGTATGCATCGTTAAAACTTTTGTGTGAACATAACCGTAACACACAATAAAATCGAAATAAAGTTAATAATAGGTCAGCAAAGATTACTAATGGAATTAAATAAAAAAGAAAGTGCTATATAGTTTTTGTTCCGACTTGTATGATGTAGAAACTGTTATTATGCCAATCAAGGTCAAAAAAATTGCGAACAAACAAATATATATTGTTTTACTATACGGCAGTATGATGTGGATGCATTATCTATGAATTATTAAAATTTAGCAAAACGATTCTAATTTTATCAGCTTATAGTTTAAATATTTAATGTTCAGGTGGAAACTGAATATAAATCGAAAAACGAAGGTTTTAAAAAAATATATTTCTTATTGATTCATTTCTCAAATTTTTCAAACTTTCAAACTTCAGTTTATCAAATAATAAAATAGCTAAAATAGCCTCTCACATTCATTTAATGATATTCATATTCTCTATGAAAATTAATATATTAAAAAATCTATATAAAATCATCTTTCATATCTATTTTAGTGATACAAATAAATTTCTTACTTTTGATTTTTCAAACATCCTTATTTTTCCTAAATGTTTAAATAATTTGTTAAATTTAACATGCTTTATTTATCAAATAATTAGAACAAACAAACTCGATATTATCAAAATTAAAATGTTAAAATAAACAAAATTCATACATTACATATTTATTGGTGTGTTACTACTGGATAAGTTTTAATTGCCATATTTGATTTTTTTAAAAGTGTTTTTTTTTAAATGAATTTGGATAATTCTAATAAGTTTATAAAATGACTAATTTGACAATTATTAAATTTTATGTCAAGTTTTAAAAATTTTGACAATCACAGTGGATGCAAAAAATATAAAATAATTGCAAAGCATCATATAAATAAATACGTGATCATGATTGAGAATAATTAAGGAATTATATTGAAGAAGTAAACTACTTAAAGTAAATTATCTACACTAAATGACGGACATATTTTTTACATGACACTTTAATTCTTGCATAGAGAATATAATTAAGGTGTTTACTAAGACTTCAAGGTTAATGAGTGCAGTTTTATAATTATTACAATCAATTTCCACTTATTAGTTCAACATGAACGCATAAAATATTGATAAACCTGTTTTAAAACCATAATTCTGTTTGTGAATTTATAATGGTCATCGATGATAACATTGGAAAAAATTAATAAGAAAAATTAGAATTCAAAAACATATTGCATATAAGTCCATTTAATTGTTAAACAAAGTAATGTAAATTGAAAAACTACTTTTTTAAAAAGTATTAGTTTTTTTTTTTTCTAAAATTACATATTATAAATAAATAAAATATTATATATTCTATAACTTGTGTATTGCTATTATAAGGTTTTTTCACAAATTATGTATTATGCACATTTTTTATATTTAAGTATTAAATTTTCATGTAATTTAAACTATAACAACGTAAATGCACTAAGTTAACACACTTTCAGCGGGCCGGGTACTGGTACCTGGTTTTAGGATTGTCATTCAACTGCGGGTGCGGGTATTTTCGGGTACTCGCTCGGTACGCTAGATGCGAAGAGCGAACGAAATTTCTTACTATGAGCGGTTGCAACGCTAGTTTTATATTTATTATAAAACTATAATAAAAATTATAATTTATTCTTTAAAATTATTTTCGATACGTAAATACGTATATATTACATAAATATATGGTATTTTATTAAAGACGATATGTTTTACGTCAGCATTTTTGGTAAACAAACTATTTCTTTTAATACTATATTACCATTTATATATTTTGCTATCTTTGTATTTATTGCGTTTCGAATATTCATATAATTTAATTTTCAAATACAATGTTAAAAATAAGCTATTACATTTTTACAAGTAATCGAACGTAGCTTATATAAACATATTATTATTTAGGTAATTAACTATTAGGTTTGTCACTAATTTATACACCATAAAAATTAATTTCAAACAATATTAAAAACAATCGAATTTTCAACGTAAAACTTTAGATTGTATATAGTATGATTATAAGTGATAAGGGACTTTATACATGATTGAAGAATGGAATTACTTGTCTAATTTACGTACCTGGCAACAGGTAATTTTATCAAATACAGTATCCGGCGAGTAATAAAACTAATTCATTAATTTACTGTTGAATGACGAATTTTCGCAATGTTTTTCAATTGTGCTTGGATTACAGGTAATTTGAAAATGTATGATATCATATTTCTCGTATTTTATTATCCCAATTTCTTTTATTTGAAAAAATTCAATGGAATTAAATGTATTTAATAACCTGTTACTTCCTATTACCTAATAAATCTACAAATTTATATTTAAAATCTAATCTAATTAAGAATATTTATCATATTTAAAACAAGCATTAAGCAAAAGTAGTAAAATATGGTATTCTGATTAGAATGGCGTGCGAAGCAAAGTCAGGCTACATATGCAATTTAAAAATTTACTATGGAAATGGCAATAGTTTACAGACAACTATATTAGATATATTAGAACCTTTTTTAAATTTGTGGCATCATGTAAATATGGACAATTTTTATAATAGTGTAAATACAAGTTCATTATTACGACAAAATAAAACTAGAATTTGTGGGACTATAAGAACAAACAGGGCCTTCCTGAAGAACTTAAAAATTTGAAACTTAAAGAGGAGAGACAATATTTAGAAGACGCCAAGAAGTTTGTCACAATGCTTCAAAAAGAATAGCCCAAATGATTTCTACAATTCTAAACTTATTGCGTAAAAATGTGTAGTGTATAATCGTGTAAAAAACCTACATATAACAAACTTTTCTGTGTATTTTGATTAATTGATTTTTATGATTAAATTCATTTTTTTATTTCAGAGACTAAACGTAAGAAAACGTATAGAAAATTTTTCTGTGTATTTTGTTTTAAATTTTTAGAATTAATTACATTTTTCATTTCATTGCCTAAACATATGTATCATTTCATAATAATATTCAACTTTATTTGCAAATATTTTACCTTCAGTATTGATAGTTTTACTTCATAATAACTTAATATTATAGTATTTACTACTGCGTATGAATTTAGGCAGTAAGTATTGTAAGTAAAAGACTGTGCATTCATGCCATGCTTACGCATTCGCACCGTTGTAAAAACCCCGCTACGGGTACAAGTTAGCCCGAAATCCTATCCGCCGAAAGTGTGTTAATATGCAACCTCTCCAAAAATAGTATCAAATAAAAATATAAGTCATATGATTAATCAGCAAATTCTTATGAATATGTAATATAGTTCGGTGATTTTTTTGGTAATGAATCAGCACATAAATCATTACGTTTGATACAACTTTTTTATGTTATATTTATGCACCAATTTATTAATAAAATTAAAAAGCAATATAAATATTATGTTAGACTATATTAGAATTATTTAATTTTACAGAATGTTTGCCAGAAACTTTGGATAAAATTGTAGATTTTTAAATAATTCACAATGGCAGACCATGTAACTGGGAAAACTCAATTGTCGCATCCTTTCATAAATGGAGAAAATACAGTTCCAATTCCTGAAGGAAAAGAAGCAGAGGTGGATGCATTTTATCAATGGTAATGAAAAATTGATTATAGAATTTATTCCTTAATAAAAGTTAATGTATAACTATAGTAGTATAGATTTATAAATAGTATATTCATTGTCTTGTTAATCAGTTTTGTTTTAAATTTGAGTCAATTTAGAAATTGTATATTAATTGTTCACATTTAGGATATGCATAATAGTCCAGTCATTTAAGTTTAGATTAGGCAATAATTTCAAAATTCGAGATACCCACCTGTAAGTCTGTAAATACTTGTATATTGACACCTAAAAGTTGTCTCATAACCTACATACTCATAACGTACATATTGTATGTTACGTACACCCTATCATATGTAGGTTTTGGGACAACTTTTAGGTGTCAATATACAAGTATTGGGTATCTTGCATTCCTAGGTGACTGTATAATGACTCTATAATCAAATCAGACAATTTAAGATAAAAAAATCTGCTAAACCTACTTTAACTCTATATAAGTTTTATATAGGTTGATCAGTTTTTGATTGATTGCTACGGGTTATAAAAGCATTAGCTATGAATTAATATTAAATTTAATATTATTAATTTTATATAATTTATCTACAAAAATAATTTTTACAGGATGATGGAGCAGAAGAACGTTGCTGCAGGTTTTACAAAAGGACACGCCCTGCTTTTCCTGCACGCCTGCTACTGGAATGAAGCTAATTCAAAAAAGGCTTTCCAAAAGTAATTATTATAAAATTTTATATTATATTATATATATATATATATATATATATTATTATTTATTGATTTTAAAATATGCTCTTTAATTTCATGATCTATTTATTGATAAATAATCCGGCGTTTAAGTAAAAAATCGTTCTCAGTTTATATTATTAGATTTTTTTTCACACATTCATCAATAGGTGAGACATATATATGTTACAAATTTCTAAAAGATTTCATTAAAACAGATAAAACAAATAATTCCAATTTTTAATAATGTATTATTTTTAAAAAGAATATGATTTTTTATTTAATTAATTCTGATCTGCCAATCCACATAACCAATTAAAAACTATGTCTAGTCTAGACTTTTGCGGTTGCATAAAAAAGTAAAATAAATACATAATACAATCTATGATAGGAATGTAAACTACACCAAACATTTACCCAAATTAAATTAAAATTCTGGTAACTTAACCTTCCATTATAACAATTAGACAAATATTTTAAATTCAATGAATCAGCAATATATTATAAATCAATTTAAAGAGATAGTTTTTCTATCATTAGCGACGATAATAGATAGATATATACACATTATTTAAATTCAATTATTCACAATTTACGAAGAAATTATAGTCACATATCACATTCATAATCATATTTGTAATTCCTAATGATACTTCATGGTAATAATTTCTAATGATATTTATATTATCACATTCAACCTCATGATATTTAATCCAATTAATTTAGAAATGAAATGTATATTCTAGAAATGATTAAAAACACTATATATATGTATATATATTATATATAAAATTATTATTATTGATTAAATTTTCTTAGTTTTTGATCTGATCTGATTGCATTGAATTTTGTAAGAATATTTTTAACTACTTATCACTGCAATATATATCGTACATGACCTAATTTATAAAAAACATGAGAATTTTTTTTTTCACAAAAATAATGATTTTCATCAATTCTTTATAAATTTTTAGATACCTTACCATAAGAGCAAACTCACCTGAGATTTTCATGGACCGAGACCCGCTTTCACCTAATGTCGGTGCAATGTACGATTTAGCGTAAGTATAACTTACCGATGTACTAAAAAGATAATATTTAATTGTTATATCAGATTGTTGAAATAGTTGAAAAATATTACAACCATTTTATCATGTTTTTTCTCTTGTAGTCACATGGCAGCATTGCCACATACCACTCCTGAGGGATACAAATTATTAATTTATCGCCTAGCAAACTATGATCCATCTAAAATGGTATTTGCAGATGCGGTCAAAGCATTTTGTATGTTCAACGACGTTCGATTGTCTGAAGATGGTAAGAAAATTACTTATTATTATTATTCTGTTTGCATTATCTTCATTCATTCCTTCAAGGAATAATAAGCTAATTTGTTGAAGTGGCAGGGTTATTATATCAAATGCTTAATTAAATTACCAGAACAATTGTCTGACTGATACAGTATGTATGAATTGTATCAAATAAATAAATAAAAAAAAAATCTAATGACCAGTCGTCCGGGAATAATTAGTTTTTTTTACATTTTCAGTTATAATACAAATATAATGAATATATCTAATTTTTTTGAATTATTGGAATTATCTGCATTTATTCCTTCAAGGAATAATAAGCTAATTTATTGAAGTGGCAGGGTTGTTATATCGAATGCTACTCTAATGACCAGTCGTTCGGGAATAATTCTTTTTTTTTGTATTTTTAAACATAATACAAATATAACGAACACCTAGATATTTTCAATCAAGTATACACATTAATTATCACAAAAACTGTATACTAAATTGTAAACAAGTTCTGTATAGTTTTTATTTCTACTAATTATCATCTAACTTATGTAGACAGTGCATTTTGTTTTTAACATTAAAGTTTTTTTGTATTCACTTAAACTAGAATTTACATTAGACAAACATGTTATTAAAAGTCAATTTTATGATACTTTGAGATTTTTTTCAAAATGTGAGAAAGATTTCACAGTATGATTCAAAATATGTCATCAAATCTAGATTCCAAGTTGCCTGTATAGACTAAAGAAGTTTTTTTGTTCTGTCCAGTGGATACTGTTTTTAAACATCCTCTGATATATTGCATTTTTTTTAATTACAATTTATGATACTTAGGACGTTTAGTAATTGTTTTGACTTTATTATATGGATTTTTGAATGGATGACAACCCAGTAGTTGTCCAATCTAATTATAAATAATTAACTATACTCGAAGTATTTGCTGATATTTTCATTATATATATGCAACTAAAACCTCAAGTGAAAATTTGACATCAAAGTTGTCTGATGTCGGGCTTTTGTGGTAGCGGGAATCGAACCATCAAACCCGGAACTAGTGTGATATTGCATTTAATATTTATATTTTTAATTCTATTGTGATCACATTGTTTTCCTAATATAATTGTTATTTTTACATAACTCCAGCTTGTAATTTGATAGAATCATTTTACATCTGATTGACCAATATTGATAAAAATTATATTGAACAAAAAGTTTCTCTGTTTTCTTATTGATCAAATCAATTATTATTTATTAATTTTTTAATTATTTCCTTATTAGGTTTAGCAGATGGGTACGTCGTCATATTCGACATGAAAGGCTTTCGTCTCAGCCATTTGATGCGTGTTTCATTTGGACCTTTACGCCACTTTATGCAGTACATCCAAGAAGCTCATCCTGCACGCCTAAAAAAAATTATGGTTGTAAATACATCTTCTCTGATCAACCAGATTATGACATTGGTCAAACCTCTTATAAGATCCGAACTGATGGGACTTCTTACTTTCATTAGTGAAGGACCGGAGTCTGTTTTGCCTCTGAAACTTTTACCTTCTGATTATGGTGGCTCTTTGCCCGAAGTAGCGGTAAGGGAAAATAGAAAAAAACATATTAATTTATATAATAAAATTATCTTTAAAAACACATTTAATGAACTTTGCGAAATATACATTCGTATTAATAATTCCTTCCAATGGTATTATAAATGTTCTCATGAAATCACTGAATCTCATGTTCAGTAATTCTAGTTCAGTTAAAGTAACATTCAAATATTTTTGGACAATAATATATTTCTGAATGGGAATAGCTCTTACGCGGCATTGCTCTATAAAATAAAGAGTCATCAGTGTTATTCTAATACATTATCAAAAATAAACAGGTCAACCGTTGGGTTGTCATGCCATCAATAAAGCCTACGACATTAAGAAGTCATCGCATAAAGACATGAAGCTTTCAGGACCACTAAGTTCTGATTTAGCTATTAATCATATAAAAAAATAGGCAAAATTTACCGTTACTGAAAATTTGTCTATTTTTTTAAATTTACTGATGTAAATAATATTTCAAAATGTAATACATGAAAACCAATTAATGCAATAATTTATTACAATTTACACAAGACAAAGTCTAGTGCAGAAATGTCTCCAAAAATCTAATTTATTTTAAATCCAAGTTTGTTTAAATATATCCAGAAAATTATATTTGTAATACTGATTATTATAAGTTTTTATTTCATTGATTAGCCTATTTGTAAATAAACTGCAGTTTGCTCTTTTATTTCCTACACAGAGTTAGGAAACTGCTGTGTAAGATTTTGCAATATCAACTCAGAAGAAATTAGCAAATATTGCCGCAAAAGTTTTGCAATGAGTTCGTTGAAGCTTGAAACGATAAGCAATTAAAAGGAGTAATTACATTATAAATATTTATTATTGGAGATCAATATTTATTTGTTTTTTCTTATAAGATCAAGTTTTTATGAGTTACTACTCTTCATTTATATTTATGTCGCAAATTATTATATGATGATGATCATCATCTATTAGAACAAATTTTAAGAGTTGTTTATAAGTATTTTTTTTTATAAATTTTTACTAATATTTATTTTTTAATACCTAGGTCATGCACAGGGAGCAACGTGCTGAAATTGAAACTAAATACTGCGAATGGCTCAGAGAATCAGCTGTTCTGAAAGAATTACCAAAAAGCAAAGAATCTTCCAAAACTAATATACAGCAAATGGAAAGTTTGAAGCTGGAGTTTGATTAACACATCACTGATAGCAAATTGATGGTTTGATAATAAATTATTTATTTTATACATTATATATGATTATTATTCCAAAGAAATTACAGATTCAACAATATTTAAATAGAGTTTGTAAAATTCTTCGGAGAACGATATATCATCTATTGTCAGTAGTAAAACATTCTATTTATGTTTATTTGTATATTATATGATATTGAATAAGCGCCGATATCGTGCCAAGAGGATATAGATATTAAAATTAATGATATAATATATTTTATAGTTTAATTAAAGTACGTATATATATTTATTGCAATATTATACAACAAGAGAAACGACACATATCATATATAAAAAATACCTTAAATCAAAGTTAAAACCTTGTATCGTTTATAATTTTATCAAATTGTTATATTGAATATTTATACATTTATAAATAAAAATATACTTGTTATAACTTAATCTTTTCTTACTAGTATAAATTCAATGTAACAAAAAAATTGTTCAAAATTAATTTAAAATTAGTGAAAAAATAAGTTTTAATAAAATAAATAATTGTGGAGAAAAATCATTGAGCAATAACATATTCAAATCACTGTGTGATGACTGAAATTATATCCATTGCTTCAAATGGTAATGTTAGAGAAATTAAATTTTAAATTTGTATAAATGAAGTAAAAATGTAATTCAATAAATATAAATAAAGTAGAACACGGTTAAGCGATTTCTCGCATAACACGCCATTTGACGACGATTTCTATACTTCTGAACATATTAAATTTAAATTTAATTTTAAAAATATAATAAATAAAAAATAACTAGTAGATCCCCGTTAAGACGATCATGATTAGAAAGATTCCAGAATAATATGCTGGTGCTTGCACTTTGAAACATATTGTGCCAATCTCGCATAATACGCTATACCTCTTAAGAGGAGTTTTTGTACATTTTCTGGAAAATTATCTTAAAGGGGTTTTACTGCATAATATAATAATTTCCTTCTTTCTAGAAAATGTTGAAACTGATATCTCCAATTGATTAATTATAGGTAGATTTTTGGACGAAATTTTTACTTCTGCATTTTGCAATACAAAGCTGGAATTTTATAGTACTACATCTATTGGTACTCAAAATAAAAATTTGATATTTTTTGGAACATAATTGGAAGAATTTTGATAAAACTGGCCATAGAGAGTAAATAATTTTATTTAAAATTTGAATATCCCACATTTTACTAATAGTAAGTAATCTCCTTTGGAGCAGTTCAAGATGACCCTTCGTAATAATTATTTGCTATTTGTAGGTGATAATTTCGCATTACTATCCCGGAATTTCTAATGTATTTTCCAATTTGAAATTTATGGAATTTTAATTTGAACATGTTCAAATTATAATTATTTCTATGTGAACATATGTACTTAAAATATTAATTCCTCATTGTTGCTTTATGAATATTCTCATAAGACTTTTGTAAGTTGTTATGATGTATGTCGACATTCGATCTTTATTACCAATTATTGTATTCACAATTTGCATCTTATTTTCCCATGAAGTTAATTTTGTAATGGAAGCCAACGATAAAATATCTTTAATTGGAAATATTGATTTCTTTCAGAAAATAACTTTTTCGATGGTTGCGACATTGTTTACTAACATGCGCGCATGCCCACCAAATCACTTTGTTTCATTAAATCGAGAAAAATACACTTGTAGATTCGCTTCCACTGTCAAAAAGCACGCTAGATTTTTATTTCGGAATTACAGACAATTGTGGTAATAAAATAAATATTATAATGTTATCAAAATATAGAGATATAAAGAATTAAAATAACTTGTAATGAATAACAATTGATATGTTACGATTTCCATATAATTATGGATACCATATTGCGCTATTTTGCGTACAACTTAAGTTATCAATTTGTTTACTGCAAAGGAATTCTTAGTGCAAGTATTTTTGAAGAAAAATGTGAAAAGGTAAGTTAGAAATAAATTTAGATTAGTTTAAATCACAATAAATGTATATTTTTTATTTTTATATATATATTTAATATACTATATTAATTTTATAGCAGTATCATTAACATTGCGTCAATAATTAATTATGCTACACTACAATTGCAGACAATGCAACATTAATTTTCAATTGCATCGCTATTACCAAGGTTAATGAAACCTGTCTGCAAATTGAATTAAAAGTAGTGCTTGATTTGAGAAGCATATATTCACAAGTTCAAAAATTATTTTAAAGTGTACTACAAGCACTATAATATTAATAAACAAAATTTGTTAAACATAGTAAACTAAAGGACTAACATTGGTTGGGTAAACCCATCTCCATCTTACGTAAGATACAAATTTGCGGTTATTTCTATTGTGTTTAATAAATATTCTACGTATATTTATTATCAATATGATTCAAATTGAATAAGCACGTGAGATAATAACTCATTCCTTCCTGAAGCAAACTTATTCAGTATTTGTGGTATTTTTACTTACAGAGTTTGGGCTTGAACAGCTATTGATAATTGTGAGTAGTTTTTGATTTAGCAATAGCAACTGCTTTGAAAATAAAATTTTAGTTTTGAAATATTTTTTGTGTAATGTTAATTAATTAAAAGTTTTTATATGAAAAATAACTATTACTGTGTTTTTTAAATTTCTTTAGTTTTGCTGTTGTAGTTGAGTACACGTGCTGAAGTTATAAATATTTTAGGAATAACATTTATTAAACCTTTTTTAACGCAGTATTTTCTTATATTTTTTACGAACAATTAGCATTATTCTGAAGAAATATATTATTATATTTTTGCTAAAATTGTGCTTGTTAGAACGTTTTGACTACAAGTTATTGCTTAACATGCACTGCACTACAATTGATGCAAAGCACATTTTTTGCACATACTGGTTATTAATTCTAGATTAATACCACAGAGCAGAGTATTTTTTGATTATCGTTTATATTTGTTGCTATTAAATAAAAACCCTAAATAGGTTGCAAGTTTAATCAAACGCGAACAGTATGAGACACCCGACTTGCAAATTTTGTCGACGACAGAAGACCATCAAAATTCGTGGTCACATAAGAAATATACAAAACGTCTTGAAAATCGCATAATACAAAGTGAATCCAAAATGAATCTTTTAGAAGATGACATCAATTTGCCTAAAAGGCATAATTATATTAGCGACAGCAGTGAAGACCATAGTGATACACATGACAACGTAAGCCAAATTGTTGAAGAAATGGATAATCCGATGAAAAATGCTTCAACTTTACCAAGAGCCAAAAGCACTCCGGAGAGAATTGTGAGGAGCTTAGAGAGGTATATTTATTTGAAGAAAATGTTAAGATCTCAGACAAAAAGGAAAAAAAATATTAATCAATTTTTGTATTCTACATTTGATAAAAATATTTAAAAATTATTCTATAAAAAAGAAAAATTAATATTTCTGAACAATGTATATTTTGAGACATCTTTGCCAATACGAAATCTCAATATAGTGAATGTATAAGTTCGGTGCATAATTGCATATTGCAAGTTACTGTATTTTGAAATTATTTTGAGAATGCAATTCTAACAATGCAATAGTTATATAACTTTGTATAATTGCAATCAAACTATTTTGTGCATTGCATTTTTCATATTTGATCACCATTCGATCTACCTTTATGTGAATAGCATTCAATTTTTGTCTGGTCGACTATTTCAAGTCGGTATGAAATAAAGTATCAAGTATTAATTAATATAATGATGAGTAAATACCAACTTACACATCTGTATCATTTATCAGTCGTGATGATGATCCTGACAGCCATGAATTCATACAACACCGAGTTCGGCATTTAATCCGCCGTTTTACTGAGAGGGCACATCGGATGCGGAAACATCTCGATGATGTTCCACCAACTCCATCCAGCCCGTCAAGTCCAAGTTCGTCCAGTCATGCACCCAGCCCGGAAAAGCAGGTTTCGAAGGTGCAGGTGCCTCTGGTTCAACCTGAGACTCCTATCAAGAGGCCAGACTGCAAAGCGATTATGGATAGCTTGAAACCAAATAAAGCATTAGATCCACAGGTAGGAGGTAGAATAATTTTCCAATTTTTTATTCAAATTTATATTTTATTTGTTATATAAAACTACAATGCTATTTATAATTAATTGAAACTGCATTCTTATCGGTCAATATGGATAATGTAAGCTGGAAACGGTTTCAGTTGGTACATAATCAATTATTATATTAGATAGGTGTTTAAATTTTTTTAATACTAATCGGATAGAAGTGCAGTGAATCAACTTAGAACTACCAACCAACAAATGTTCATGTTTGAATTCATACTCTTTTTTCAGGATTTTTCTAGATGCAAACAGATAATTTTATCTTATTTTCGGCGTTCAAAGCAGTATATTATATGTATAAATATGTATAAAAAATAGCAGTGCTAAATTATGTACAAAAAAATTTAATGTCTTAAATTATATTACAATGTCCCCACTCAAATGTAATTTAGTAACAGCCACGAATTCAAATTTAAAAATGATTAGATTTTTTTCTAGCAATTACTATTGTAATTCTACAAATATTTGCGCTTTGTATCAAGCCTGTGAAATAGAGTGGGAAATTGATGAAAAATTCCAGGATCGATTAAAGTAGATTGAAAATCCGTAAACTGTTATTCAGCTCTTATATGAACTTCTATGCGACGAGCAAAGTGTGCAGTTAACTTGCAAATTCAAACGTTCAAGGGAAAATTACTTTCGGAATTGCTCATCTTGGATTTAATTAAGGATTTGTTCTACTTAAGTGATTGAGTTCACAGCTGGTCTTGGCTTCATTAGAGTATTTCTATAATAGATAAATATTTATCCTGTTCAAGTTTGTTTTATTTCTTTTTTCTCGTTTGTTTTCAAGATTGTTCTATTTGTGCTTGGTTGATGATGATAGATGATGATTCTGCAATCGCATATAGGATAATCAATTCAAACAATAATATAATAAAATACAAAATAAAATTATTTATATTTAATAATTTCTAACCTCATTTTCTCATTTATTATTTATTATTATTTTCAGGGATATGTTTACATAGGCTGGCTCTTCATAGTGACCACATGCTACGTCTACAACGCTTGGGTTGTACCACTGCGAGCATCTTTTCCTTTCCAAACACCTGAAAATAGACATTTATGGTTCATATTCGATTATTTTTCTGATATAGTATATCTTATCGATGTAGTTTTCTTTAAACCTCGTCTTATATATTTGTACGAAGGATTTTGGGTCGAAGAAATCTCCTTGACAAGAAAAAACTATATGAGAA